TCTCTTGACCTCGTGATCCACCCGCCTCGACCTCCCAAAGTGCTGGGATTACAGGCTTGAGCCACCGCGCCCGGCCTTCATTTTTTGTTTTTGTTTCTCTGAGATGGAGTCTCACTCTGTGGCCCAGGAGGGAATGCAGTGGCACTATCTCAGCTCACTGCAACCTCCATCCCCCAGGTTCAAGTGATTCTCATGCCTCAGCCTCCTGAAGAGCTGGGACTACAGTGGCACACCACCATAGCTTACTAATTTTTATATTTTTAGTAGAGACGGAGTTTCACTATGTTAGCCAGGCTGATCTCAAACTCCCGACCTCAGGTGATCTAGCCACCTTAGTATTCCCAAAGTGCTAGGATTACAGGCGTAAGACACTGAACCCTGCCCTTCATATCGCTTAATAAGAACTTTCTAGAAGCATTTCTCAACCATCGCAGGTATAGTCATATTTCATTTCTCTACTTCTAAAATATCCTGTGCATATCTCCAGCGCCTTCAAATCATAGTCGTTAAATGATAGTAGGTCAGATGGGAGCAGAGAGCTCTAGAATCGGATAGTAAGAGACAAAGAAGGTAAACTACTTTCATTTTGCAAAATGAAATCCATTGTTAAGAAATTACAAATTCCCAGTATCAAATATGAAAATTTATTCACGACGATATGTTATAAAATTAAATGTCCGTTTTAGTCGATGGTTGCCGAGATTTGCACGAACAAGGTATTCCCAGCCTATCTTTGTTCAAATGATTTGCATACATTATGCGAATATATAGCACTGCCCGAAGAAAGCCTTCACTGCGTGGTGCAGGCGACAGGCTTCCCGGGACCTTTGGATTGGTCTGTCTATTCACCTCATTTGCATGACGTGATTTAATAACTGGAAGGCCCCGCCCCCCGCCCCAACGTCCCCCGCAACCACCACCCCAAGCCCCTGGAGGGACGCGAGAGCTGGAACTCTTACCAGGTCTGCGTAAGCTCCGCCCTCTGGCTGCTAATTCCGCCCCACCAGCCCCTGTCCTCTCTCTCAGTCTCCTCAGCTGAAGGCGCCATGGGCCGTGTAACGTTTCCTTCCACTTTTGGCGTCCCTACGTCTCTGCGCTCCCATCTTTCCTCGAACGTACGACGCACGCTCCGCCTCTTTCTCCCACATTCGTCGAGTAAATTCTGCGTCCCAACCGCCCACACGACCTGCACCGCATTCCCTACCCCCGAACACTTCCCTACAGCCGACCCCGGGAGGCCCGCCTCCTCAGCCAATCGGCGTCCTAGAGCTCGTAAGTCCCTCCTCTTTATGCAAATAACCTCCGCCGGCTCCGCGCTCCCGGCCCTTTTATTTTTTTTAAACTAAGGACCGCCCTGGCAGTAAAGAGGGTTAGGGTAGGAAGCGCCCCGCCCTTTATGCAAATAAAGGGGCGTGTCTAGGCGCGAAGGGAGGTGGGAGGTGGGGGGGGTGCTCCCGGGGGCGGCGGTTGCCCGGATGGGCCGTTAGTCGGAGCTCAGCCGCGGAGTGAGCTAGGGAGACGGGAGGAGCCGAACCCGGCGCCATCCGCCGCCATCCTCCCCCGCCCCACGGCCATCCCGTCCCGGGGAGCCCCTAGGTCCCGGTCCCGGATCCCCGCGCACCCGGCCAGGTGAGTCTGGGTGAACCGTGCGCTGACGCTCTTTTCCGGCGCGGGAGCGGTTGTGGCGGAGGCGGCGGCGGCGGTGACGGCGGCGGTGGCGGCGGGCCGGGGGGAGGAGAAGCTGCCATTAACCGCCGCCATTTTGTCCTCCGCTGCCGGGCCTGCCCGCCCCTCCCCCTCTAGTACCTCTTCTCCGGGACCCGCGCCTCCGGCCGCTCATTCAGCATCCACAGTCTGCCCCTACCCACCCACCGTCTTGGCTTCAGGGGATGACTCTTGCGCCTGGGCCTTAACTCCCCACCTTCTGCTGTGCTCCTGGCTTCTCAACCCCATCTGTGGGCCCCCTCCCCCGCTGCCGCCCTGGGGTGGGCCGCGCCCGAAGGTTCTCCTCTCCGAAGGGCTCTTTTCGTCCATGTTGGACCCCCCTCCTATCACTCAGCTCTGTGGTCCCCCCCTTTGGACGCCCCTCTTCATCTCGAGCCACTCCCACTCTAGAACCCTGCTTTTATCCCGCATCTTTGCTTTCTATGTTGCTCAGTCGCCCTGTGTCTGCTTTTTCATTTTTTCTATTCCTCGTCTCCTTTCTGCCCCATCCCCGTTTTTCTTTTTGGGTCTTTGCCCTCTTAGTTCGTTTTCTGCATCCTTTCTTTGCCATTCCTGCTTCCATGTATTTTCACCTGCTTTCGTATTCATTCTTTTCTGTTAGTTTTGGTCTGTTCACTACATGATCCTTTTCTTTCTTTTCCCTTCATATATTTATTTTCACAGATTGGTCTCCTTAAATACCTTCGAAGCTACATTCATCTCATCTCTGGCTTGTCATAAAGTTCACTCTCACCAATTTTGGCTTTCATTCTGGGCCTTGTCTGGATTTCCTTGCTTTCTTCCCCACCATTTCTCGTCTCTTTACACTGTTCCCGTCCATAGACGAATGCCTGATCACTCTGGAATGGACTGAGAGAGATGTCCTGCTTGCTTAGGGAGCTAGAAGTATCAAGGAGAGAAACACTGGTGATGGACATATTTAATGAGGATAGGAAAATAAAGATGGCTTTGGCCTTGGCCCTCTGTTTCTGGCCCATAGTGCTCTCAAGGTGGCTCCATAAAGCTTTGTTTTTCTCAGTTCTTCACATGGTAAAACAGTATTTCACCTGGAAGCGATTTTTTCCAGGAACCAATACAGGAGCAAGTTTTGGAAAAGATGGGATATTTCAAATACTTGGGGTTCCTATAGTCTGGGAGTTTGTAGAGCCCCAGTGTTCTATGAGGATTTCTCTGGTACCAACCCCCATTCCGGCTGAGCAAGCTCATAAAATCCTTTAACTCCCGGCATACCTTCCTACAAACCTTCCCAGATGGACACGAGGCTGCTGGGCAGGGAACCTGGGGTACAGGGTCCTGGGGTATGATTAGGTAGCTGGTCTCCAATAAATAGGGAATCTAAAGCGCTGTTTCAGTTCTACTATGGTGGAATTGTATGCTGCTTTTTTAGTTTTCTCTTGCTTGAATTTGGTTGCCCTGTTGTAAGTCTCTGAAATAATTTTGGTGAAGAGAGAAGAGATTATTACTTGTAAGGAATGAAAAGGCTGCTACCCTTTGTAGAGTGGCACAAAGGGCACAGAGTGTTTATACTAGGAGAATACTGGATTTTTACTTGGATTTCCTTGGCAAAGGTGTTTGGCGGAAAGGAGGGATCATGGCATTTGGGCTGTGTGGGAGATAAGTCGATCGTGGTCGCTTAAAGAGAGTGGGCAGCTTACATAGACTGGAGAAAAGACACCAGAGGGCCTCATATCTGAATCCCTAATGAGAATACAAGGGAATTTTTTAAACTTCTGTTACGGTCCGTACAGGGGACAGAGACTGAGACACTTGCTGTCTGGCCCACAGGCTCCGGCACGTTTTGGGGGAGGTGCCTGCAGGACCCAACATACTCAATGAGCTTCCAGCGCAATGTCCGATCGCTCGGGGCCGACTGCCAAGGGAAAGGATGGAAAGAAGTATTCCTCGCTCAACCTGTTTGATACATATAAGGGCAAGTCCTTAGAGATCCAGAAACCCGCTGGTGAGGGTCCTGCAAAGATACTTCTGATGGTTGGAAACTAGGCATGGATGGGCCATATGTTTTGAAGCTCTTTGAAGAGAAGAGGCAGTAGTACAGATACCAAAAGACTAGAGTGTCCTTTAAAGGGGGCATGGGCTCTGGGTGAACATCAAGTTACCCTCCTATAAAGGTGTGTCTGTGGTTGCCTGTTTTTGGACACGTAAGAATTGGAGGCAAAGAAATGTGGACTTGGGAAAGTCTGAGGCTAGCTTGCCGCTTGGAGCCTCGTGAGTAGCCAATCTCACAGAAACATTGAATGTTACATTTCTCATCATTCTTGATAGGGATTTCAGAGATTTTTTTTATTTTTTATTTTTTATTTTTATTTTATTTTATTTTTTTTGAGACGGAGTTTCGCTCGTTACCCAGGCTGGAGTGCAATGGCGCGATATCGGCTCACCGCAACCTCCGCCTCCTGGGTTCAGGCAATTCTCCTGCCTCAGCCTCCCGAGTAGCCGGGACTACAGGCACGCGCCACCATGCCCAGCTAATTTTTTGTATTTTTAGTAGAGACGGGGTTTCTCCATGTTGACCAGGATGGTCTCGATCTCTTGACCTCATGATCCACCCGCCTCGGCCTCCCAAAGTGCTGAGATTACAGGCATGAGCCACCGCGCCCAGCCGAGATTTTTTTTTATTTTTGAGACAGAGTTTCACTCTTGTTGCCCAGGCTGGAGTGCAATGGCGCAATCTTGGCTCACTGCAACCTCCGCCTCCTGGGTTCAAGTGATTCTCCTGCCTCAGCCTCCTGAGTGGCTGGGATTACAGGCATGCACCACCACGCCTGACGCCTGGCACCTGGCTAATTTTGTATTTTAGTAGAGACGGTTTCACCATGTTGGTCAGGCTGGTCTTGAACTCCCAACCTCTGGTGATCCGCCCACTTTGGCCTCCCAGCGTGCTGGGATTACAGGCGTGAGCCACCTCACCTGGCCTGATTTCAGAGATTATTAGGGGCAGAAGAAGGGATCCTTTCTAAGAGAAGTTTGGAGGAAGTAGGTAATAAAATATTCAAGATGTATAAATGTGGCCCACGGTGGGAGGCCATCAGATCTCCTATATGAGGCATTTTTGACCCTCTCTCCATCTTTTTCTCCAGTTGCCCCTCGCCATGGCCTGCAGAGTCTCGGGAAAGTTGCCATTGCCCGGCGTATGCCACCTCCAGCCAACCTTCCAAGCCTGAAAGCCGAGAACAAAGGCAATGACCCCAATGTCTCACTAGTGCCGAAAGACGGAACAGGATGGGCAAGCAAACAGGAGCAGTCCGACCCCAAGAGGTAAGCAGAGGCTTGGGGGACCTAGAGTCATGAGTATTCTAACTTGAACTTCAGGGAGAGCTAGGGCTTGGTTTATCCCAGCCACACAAGAACCAGAGACAAAGGAGGCTCCTTTCTTATCTGTGGTAGGTTTCTTGTTACGTAACTAAGGAATGATGCCTTTAGCTTTTTGTCTTGGAGAGAAAGCATGAAGAAACAGATGACAGCCTACAAAGGATGACAAAATTATTTTGTTCTTAATTTGTAAATGGCAGCAATGGGCAGAGTTTCAGTCCTAAGTCTCCACCAGTTGGAGAAGTCGGGGAGCCATCTTCAGCCTGAACAACCTTCCCATTCTATCCCCTCAGTTCCGATGCCTCAACCGCTCAGCCGCTGGAATCGCAGCCACTGCCGGCTTCACAGACGCCTGCCTCCAACCAGCCGAAACGACCCCCAGCAGCCCCCGAGGTACCTGGAGAACTCAGGGGTTGGGGGAAGAATGGCTCATAGATGCCCCACCCACATCATCATTTATCATCTCTCTCAACACTTCCCCAGAACACTCCTTCGGTTCCAAGCGGGGTAAAGTCCTGGGCACAAGCCAGCATCACCCATGGAGCACATGGAGATGGTGAGTGCAGCACTGTTTGGGGAGCTGTGTCCGGGCACCATGGGATGCATGACCCCTCTTCAGCAAAGTGACCTTGGTCCTCTGGCTAAATCTAAGATAACCTATGTTCAGTTTCATGAAGGCACATGAGCAATTTAAGTCTCACTGTCTCACTCATTTTTTTTTCTTTTTTTTTTTTTGAGACGGAGTTTCGCTCTTGTTACCCAGGTTGGAGTGCAGTGGCGCGATCTCGGCTCACCACAACCTCCGCCTCCTGGGTTCAGTCATTCTCCTGCCTCAGCCTCCTGAGTAGCTGGGACTACAGGCACGCGCCACCATGCCCAGCTGATTTTTTGTATTTTTAGTAGAGACGGGGTTTCACCATGTTGACCAGGATGGTCTCGATCTCTTGACCTCGTGATCCACCTGCCTTGGCCTCCCAAAGTGCTGGGATTACAGGCGTGAGCCACCGCGCCCGGCCTTTTCTTTTTGAGATGGAGTCTTGCTGGAGTGCAGTGGCACAATCTTGGCTCACTGCACCCTCCACCTCCAAGGTTTGAGCGATTCTCCTGCATCAGCCTCCCAAGTAGCTATGATTACAGGCAGGTGCCACCACGCCAGACTGATTTTTGTATTTTTAGTGCTGGGATTACAGGCATGAGCCACCGTGCCCAGCCAAGTCTCACTCTTACATGACGGAGTGTAGTGGTCCCAGAACTGACTTTCTTTGCGAATAAGCAGTTATTCTGTAGGGGGGTAAGTTTGAAGGCAGGAAACCTGACGATGTGATACCTGTCAGAGCCTTCCACTTTTAAGCATGTCCTCAGTAAATGTACTTCTGTTTCCCATTCTGCATGCCCATCCTAATAGGTGGAAGGGCATCAAGCCTACTGTCGCGATTCTCTCGAGAGGAATTTCCGACCCTGCAGGCGGCTGGCGACCAGGACAAGGCTGCCAAGGAAAGGGAGTCTGCCGAACAGTCGTCTGGGCCCGGACCAAGCCTCCGCCCCCAAAGTGAGTGGCTGCCTTTTGGCCAAGACATTACCTGTTCCATCTCAGCTAAGTGCTGATTTACTCAGTTTCCTCCCTATCACTTTCACCTACGTTCACTTGCTCTCCAGTCGTTGATACCTTTCTCTATCTTTTCCAAAATACAGATTCTACAACTTGGAGGGACGGAGGTGGGCGTGGCCCTGATGAGCTGGAGGGCCCGGACTCCAAACTTCATCATGGTCATGATCCCCGGGGGGCGCTGCAGCCTTCAGGCCCACCCCAGTTCCCTCCCTACCGCGGAATGATGCCGCCTTTCGTGAGTCTTGCTGTCTTGTCTTGGAGCGATTACACTGGAGGCTGGAGACCTAGGAATCAGGACTTAGTCTTTGGCCTATGAGATAGAAGGGAGGGTGGGAGGATAGCAGGCTTAAGGAGCTGGAAGAGGGTATAT